GCTGGAGGTGATCAGTCCCCGACTTGTGTCCAAGTGGCCCACTACTCCACGGATCCCCCCTCCGGATCCACAGCCATCGTGAGGCTCATTCAGCAGCATTGAGGATGTTTATTGATGGCTCTTTTGCACAGCTGACCTTTTACTCCAAGGAGGTTGAGGATTCAACGCAATGACTGGCCAGCGAATCTGCAGCACCCAACCTCGATTGGTTCGACAGGGGCTTTCCAGCCATTGTTCTTCCACTCCACCACCAGTTCTGTGTATCTGGCCCGTTCCCGCTCATTGGCCTCTTCTATGACCCTGTCTTCCCAGGGGACAGTAAGTTCCATTGGGATCACTTGCTTTATTGACTCCGATGTTAACACCATGTCTGGGTGGAGCAAAGTGGCTGAGAATTGTTAAAGGAAGTTGAGCTGTCTTCCCAGGTCGACTTCCTGAGGCGACTTTAACATCAGAGGAATCTCGGTACATCAAGACCTCCCTGGCATGTGTGACCTTTATTCTTTATTCTTTATTAGGATCCCCATTAGCTTCCACCTTGAATTCGACCTTCGACCTTGAATTCGACCTGCGACCTTGAATTCCTCTGACAAGTCGCTGATGGGAAGCTGCAGCTTAGTGGAATGCCCATACAGGGCAATGCTGCACAGGGACAGAGGGAACCCCAACCACCTCTGGAGAATCTGGGTGATGGTTCTTTCCAGCTCCTCCACAGTGGTCATGGGCACCTCATAGACCAGAAGGGGCCACAGAAGTCTCGGCAGGACTCCATGTTGGTACATCCAGGCTTTGAGTTTTCCTGGGAACCCCGACTTGTCGATCGCAGTGAGCCAGGTTGTTCTTGGTTTGTTGGAGTGCGGCTGTAGCAGTGTATGTAATGTCTCCCTGGTGTTAGCATGTAGCTACATGTAGCAGTGTATGTAATGTTTCCCTGACGTTAGCATGCAGCTACATGTAGCAGTGTATGTAATGTTTCCCTGACGTTAGCATGCAGCTACATGTAGCAGTGTATAGAATGTTTCCCTGCCACACATTGACCTTATTATTTGAAACTTTGGCCACGTTCAACGTCAGACACTGAAACATTATAAACATGACAGAAAACAAGGAAAAGCATAATAAGCCCCATTTAAGCATTTCTTTTTCATGTTGTCTCAAACATCAGGATTAAAATTGTTTGTAATTTCTGTTTATTTTGGTTCATTTGCAGCTACTGAAGTTGGAGATGATGACATCAGAGATGACATCACATACAGTGATGTCAAAATATCACGTAACCTACAACAGCCAATCAGACGGAGCAAAGGTAATGATGGTTTTATTGATTTTAAGGGGACTTTCAGGGACGGTGACTGTGTGTGTGTGTGTGTGTGTGTGTGTGTGTGTGTGTGTGTGTGTGACCTTTTTTGTTCTTATATCCTTGTGAGGACCGTTTTGAGTTATAGAAATTAACGGGACCTTTTGGAAAGTGAGGACTTTTTTTAAGCAGGATATTTTATAAAGTGTGTAAATCAATGTTTTTAGTCCATGAAGTTTCAGACTGCAGTGGTGTATTTAAGTGTGTGTTGTGCTATGCATGTGTGCATTTTGCACCCTGTGGTTAACAGGCGCTAGCAGCTCTGTGGTCGTCCAGTTTCCTGTGTCTGATAAAAAATACTTCAACTGAATGTGAACCTGCACACATTTCACCACAGGGCTGTGAACAAACAAATAAGTAATATGAATTAATTATAAATGTGCAGATTTACAAATCTCTTTATACTCTGATCACATTTCATATATCTCAAAATGAGGGAACTGTTGTACTGTTTTACACAAATGCTTTTTAATCAGTTTATTCAATGTTAATACTTAAATGCTCTTTTTCATTTCCTTGTTGTGTCACATTTAGTCCGTGTTCACGTTTGTGACACCAACACTTTACAATGTTAGTATTTACATCTAAATCTTGGCTGACAGTCGTTTTTCATATTTTATATTTGTATTTTTAATAATTAATAATGGTGTAGTTTGTAACATCCTGACTTGTTTGTCCTGTGGTCAACGTGTTGACATATCTTTATAAATGTTAGCAGTGGTCCCCTTCATGTGGTTTGGGGTTTCTTTTCAGCTTTCACATAGGAAAAGTGTTAAAAAGGAAAAATTATGAAAACATAAATTGCACATCAGTTTACACATTGAATTTTTACACATTGATCAATTTTTATTACTTCCTTTTCTAAAACTTTATGAAATTATATTTTAAATTATATTTTATAATTATTGATTGTAGTAGGAGCTCATATAATCTGGATTCTTTTTGTTGAATGGTGACTACAGCAGCAGCAGTGCTTATATTAACTGTTCTGGTATCAGTTGCAGAACCTGCAGTAATGTAATCTGTATGTATTTTATTTACCAGAGAGCGATCCAGCTGCCATCTACTCAGCAGTGAGAAGAGCAGACGACGTCAGCTATGGACAAATAGTCTTCAAAGACATCAGATCAAATAGGAAGAGAGGTACAGCTGTTTGTCTTTGTCTCCATGGCTGAATCCAAATGTCTGCACTTCACCACACTTGCAGACTCGCAGACTTTGCGGGCACATTCCCGGGAAGTCTGGGAGTGCTGAAGACTCCAAATCCACAACTCATCCGGTTCACAAGGGGCCTCAAGTGGACTTTCTGCAGACTTCCAGAGAGTCCGCTTGGGGTGCAGACTTCAGCAGGTGTCCCTGATTTAATAACCCACAATTCATTGCAATACGGACGAGACGTTGTGGGTTTTTCAACAACCAAAAAAGGCTATACATGTGATTTATATCTCGTTATCAGCAGGGACAGATGAGTTCAGCACTCTTCATCAACTTATATGACATATATATGAATA